AGGTTACTGTATGGCCCACTTGCTAGTACTCATTTTAAGAGGATGGTCTGGAAAAATATTGCCTGTGTTTTATTTTCTTCTAACTTWGTTTTTTGTCTTAGTTAAGTTTTCGTCTTTCCTTTTATTGTCTGCAAGGCAGACTCTTCATTGTTTGACAGGCAGGAAATAGTATGGAACAAAGATACCAGTAATTATGGGTAAGAACAAACCATGACATTTGCTTGCAAAACAAAAAAATACACCACTAAAAAAAAGACAAAGTTTGTAATCTGACATTTACTTTACATGATCAAGRGTAAGCCAGTGGGAATTGGCTTGGCRCATGCCAAAAAGAAAAAAAGKRAAAAACCAAAATAAATCTCYAGGGCAYAATGTATATCATACAGCTATTCCAKCTGAAGCACAACATGGAATAAAAAATGTTGCAGGTTCTGAGCAAGTTTTAAATTTTTTGTCATGTAATAATTTGCTGCAATCAATCTTCTCTTACATGAATTCAGGGGATTGCACGTAATCAGTGTCAATGTTGTACCTGTAAGGTCATAAAGGCTTGAGCTGTTTCCCTCTGGAGATTCTGCTGGGAACTGAGCAGTTCTCAGGATGCCTCACCCCATGAAATGTGCTAATGGGAAACTAAAAGATGTTAGCATCTCCCCAAAGCCAAAAAGAAAAATTCAATCACTCTTGGCAAAGCTCCAAGGTGGTTTCTTTTCAAATTAATCTGTGCCATCTTGAGTCTCATTAGGAATTAGGRACTCACAGATTCCTGTCAACATTAATATCACGTAGGAAGAAGTAGCATCTCCACAAAAAGCAGAAGAAATTACTGCAACAGAAATATGTAAGGCCAAATTCTGCACTTAGTTACCCTTTGGTGAGTTTATTACAGATTCATGATGATAAAGGATAGGTGGAAAATGGCTCATCTTGGTTAAATAACACTGGCCTGATTTTCAGGGCTGTGGAGTGATTTTCAGCTGCGGGCATTTAATACTTCTGCAAAGGAATGTCCCAGTTCTCTGTAGTATCCTTTCATTTGGAGCTGCATTTTTTTTTTCTTGTATCATACATTCTCTTCCCCCAAATACGCTTTTCCTTTGAAGTTTCTTATATGGAAAAAGTAAAGCAGCTTAATGAAATTTTTATTATGCTGTTGCCCTTCGCATGATGAATTTGGGACTGAAAGACAAATCAAATCTGTCACTGTGGCAATGGGGTGTAAAGGCACTACACCGTTGTCTTTGATCCCAGACCATCTACAGTCTCAAGTGGCATGGCTGATTTTGCCCATAAAGAGACAGTTTAGATTTGAGGATTTGCAGCCCAGCATTAAATTTAATAATATGGAAGCCAAAATGAGAAGAAAAGCAGTGACTATAGACAGAAGCAAACTGTAGTTATGATCAATTTCCTTTGGGTTGAAATATTTTCTCATTAAATATAGAGGTAGTGACAAGTTATTATGACATTTGTAGTGAAATGTGAAAACAATTTAAATTTACAATTATTCAACATCATTAAATCACAGAATCATAATTACTAGACTTGAAAGGGACTGGAGGAGGTCATCTAGTCTATCTACCTTTCCTCATGGATATTTCTGCCAAGCCGCCTCTAACCATGTAGGCTSTACAAACCTCCACAAAATCAGTGCTTCACTACCCTGATGATTAGAAAAAGAAATCCCTAATGGCAAATATAAATATTTTCTTGCTTCCTTTTCAGCACATTATRGAATCATRAWCKCATAGAATGGTTTGGWTTGGAAGGGACATTAAATATCATCCAGCTCCAACCCTTCTGCCATGGGCAGGRRCACCTTCTACTGAMCAGATTGCTCAAAGCCCCATYCAACCAGGCCCTGCATATGTCCAGAGATGGGGCATCCATAACTACTCTGGGCRGCCTGTTCCAGTGCCTCACCACCCTCACAGTARAAAAACTCTCTCTAATATCTAATCTAAACCTCTCCCCTTTCWGTTCAAAGCCATTCATTACAWGTGCCCCTCCAGCTCTCTTGTTCCCTCTCTCCAGTACCCTTTTGGTAYTGCAAGGTGCCCTAAAGTCTTCCCAAAGTCTTCTCCAGGCTGAACAACCCCAACTATCTTGGYCTGACTACATAGGAGAGGTGTTCCTCCCATGTGCTCATCTCTTTCTCCAACAGATCCACATTGTTCTTACAWCTTCCGTGCTGGGCACCCCAGAGCTRGATGCAGTGCTKGATGCAGGTGGGGTCTCTCACAAGAGCAGAGTAGAGGGGCAGCATTCCCCTCCTCTGACCTACTGACCATACTTCTTTACAATAAGTTTTTGCACCTTTTTATCTCAAGTAGTCTTTTTTTTCTTTTTTTTATTTTTTTTTTTTTCCACAGGATGGAAGTTTCCAGGCTTTTCATCATTCTCACTACTCTCTCTCAGCCATCTCTATGGAAAGCATATCTCCAAGTGCAGCAGTCAGAATTCTAGATGGGACTTAATGTACACTGGATTGTCTGGAGGTGAATCTCTTGTTCAAAAAGCAGTTTGGTTCTCCTGCAATGGCAAGACACCACTGTCTCAGCCTGTGCACTGCTGAAGCCACTGTTCTTTTTCTGACTGCTGCACATGGCCTCATTTGTGGAGCTGGTTATTTCCACCTCAGAGAAGGACCTGAAAGTTGTCTTCAGGATTCACACAAACACCTTTCAGATGGCACAGGTCCCCAGGGCTGGATGTTGAGTCCACAGGCAGCATGATTCCCAAAGCCACAGATATTTGGAAATTGCTTTTTGAAAAATGCTCATCAGAGCTGTTGGTGAAGGGCAGAAAGCAGGCAATGCCAAAATGTGTAACAACACAGACTTGTGCTTCTTCCTTTACTCATCCGAAATGTCCAAATTCCTCCCTGGAATACTGCTCAGGTCTGTAGCATTGTACCTCTTCATCCTTGGTGGGTTTTCATACACAGCTGAGCACGAGGTGTCGAGAACGTACTCCACCTTACTCTGAGCTTGCTTAAGTGAAGTGTTAACTGCAAGSTAACACAGAAAACAATGTTTGTGCTAAAATAAGGCAACATGAGCAGAACTTTGGCTTTTATGGGCAACCACTGCAAGCATCCTCTGCCATCACAGCCTTTGTTGGGATAATGGGAAATGACATGCCACAGGAACTCCRTAAGCCAAAGGCAGAAAYGACACAAAACTTTTTGTGAGCAAASAGAAAATCAGTCTCTTACATAATCAAGAGGTATGATTTCCCCCTTTTTGTGTTCATTTACCTTATCATATTCCCTTATATTATATAGACTAATAATTTTATTTTGTTGTTCAAGATAATGAAAAATATGTCCAGTGCTGATTTGGCAGCTGKGCTCATGTGATTATTCTTATCTGTAGATACTGAAAACCCATAAAGTTGCCTAAGTGAGACAAAATTTTTTGTTCTAATAACACCCTATTAAAATAACCCTTAATGTTGTGAATGTTTTTCTTCCTTTTATCAATTCTTTCATTACAAAACTGTATCATAATTAACAATATAAATGTATTTATACAATAGAGAGCAGAATTATATGCTCTCTATTTTTTCATTGTACTGCCTATTTAAAATATTAAATACGTATTTTTTTAATGCACTACTAGGAAAGCTTTTGGGACAAAATATTTGAACCATTGCAGAAAGTTCCTGGATTTCCTAACCTTGAAAATAAATCTTGAAACTCGGTGTTTTTCTGGCAGACAAGACAGTGCTATTTGAGTGAAACAAAGCCTGCAGCAGCAACAGCAACATCTACCTGGATTTACTGGTGGAATGTGTTGCTGGTTTACAGCCTCTCTTCTGTAAGCACAAACCCCATGAGACAATTTTTGGTGTTGTTGCTTTCCTTTCTTACTTTAAATGCAGTCTGTTCTCACTTTCCATTTTAAATTGAACCTCTTTTCCACTTGGAGGGTTTTAAACATTTGCAAGTACGTGTCATTTTTGTAAGGAAAAAGCCACTTGACTAACATAGTCCGTGCCAAACAAAGATCACTTTTTTGGGGCTGCTTTGGGAGTCCAAGGAAATTCTAGACATGAGTGTGTAGGTGATACCAGTTTATATAGMACAGTTTATAGTATTGCAATACAAAGGCAGATTATCAAAAATACCACCTGTCCCAGCTACCTTTGAAACTCTCCCCACAGGCCTTCTGTTTGTCTGAGTAAGCCTCTCAGATGAAGTTCTTGGTGTGAGGGGCWGTACTCTGCTTTCCTGTAAGCCCTCTTTAGGTACTGGAAGGCTGCTCTAAGGTCTCCCTGGAGCCTTCCCTTCTGCAGGATGAAGAGCCCYAGCTCTCCCAGCCAGTGTCCATAGGGAATGCTGTGTTATAGTGGGGATACTCATCAGGCAGCCACGGTGCGGAAGAGACTGCTGATCTCACCTGAGCTGSTTTCAGATGGCAAGAACACACCAGATCCCACAGTTACCAACCCCCCAAGAAACTAATACAGAACTCAGATTATATTTAAAACTGAGCACAGCTGGTGGGCAGGGCCATGGCTGGTGTTTCTGGCTGCTGCTCCCCACWGCTCTCAGCCCTAGAGACTGCTACAGGACCAAACACCTTGGGGAAAGTAAAGAAGGGCATGAGGTATAGGCAAGTTTCTGTGGAGAGGTAATTTCATACMAGAAAGTGAAATGGAGGGATTTTCAGAAGGTCTAAGGGAATAGGAGTCTTCCCTCTTAGTGGAAAAGCTGCTGGATGGGTCCTAAGMCACCTCCAAAACTTGGCAACCTCATAAACAACTTGGCAGGTCTGGTGGAGCTCAGGAATAAAACTAGCACTGGTGCCTCAGGAGCTCATCATGCTCCAAATTTCCTAATTTTCAATATGGAATCATTTCACTACTGAAATTTAAGGACTGGATGCACAAAGTTGGTGTTTTTTTTTGGTTTTTTTTTTTTTTTTTTTTTTTTTTTTTTTTTTTTTTTTTTTTTTGAAAGCCATAATTTTCTAGCTAGCAGAGATACACCCCGTTTCCAGCATGAGAAAGATTTGCCTGATGTCTTGGTTTGCATTTAAACCAGCCGTGGTGTTCAGTGACATCTAGGGACTGCCTTCGAGAATTGCATTGTCTGGAAACCACAACAYCTCCGTGTGTCTCCTTCAGACAAACTGGGATTTTGAACGCTGAACCATTGCTTCCAGCTGCTGTGGTCATTGCTGAACTCTGTGGACAGACATTTCCATCTTCACTGAWGGAGAATTGCAGTAATCATGACCTGTGGAAACAGGAAAATGCTGAGGYACCACTTTACATTCTCAATGAATCATTTGGAGCTACTTCAATATTGCAGGCTTTCATCTCAATATAAAGTTTGTGCTCACCCCCCCACAAGGCCCCATGGCCAGGGGGAGATTTTTTTACTCAAACACATAATAAATGTAGGGGGGTGCAGGCAGTGTGTTCTTGGTCACATTTCAGAGTATCTAAGTTATGAACTACGGTACAGTATTATTGGTTGAGAAAAATGATTCTTGTTGACTAATTAATCTTTTTCTGACTCAACTGTAAGTGAATAAACATCAGTTTACTCTTAAGCAGAACTTATCCTCTTTCAGTCTCACTTTTAAGAGTCAGGAAAGCTCCTTTTAATTCTATTTACTTTTCAAGGCCCTGCTGYTGATATTTCTAAGCATCAGTAACCTGGGAAGCAACTGCTGAGCTGGAGGAGCAGGGTGCCAGCTGTGCTTGGCATGGGAGAGCAGGAGCAGCAGAATGGGCACCAGAGGTGTTAGGGGCTGTCAGGGCCCTCCTGAAACAGGCTGCTGAAGGAGACAATGGGAATGGGGCAAAGTATGTTCCAAACTAAAGTAACTCTATGAAAAATTCCTCCCTTTCTTCCATCAAACCTTCTTGGGATTACAGAAATGAATACAAAAAAAACCAAAAAAACAAAAAAAAACCCCTCCCCCCCAAAAAAAAAAAACAACCAGATGCCAAAGAGGTTTTACTGTTCTGCACAAAGTTTACTCTGGAGATGCAGTTCTCACAACAGGATTAATTCAAACTCAGGATCACTTTTCCAAGAAGCCAGCTAGGCTSTAAAGTCACAAATCCATGTTTGGTGGAAGGAACAACACCATGAGCCATAGTGGAATTGTGGGACTTTACACTGTCACTGTAATCGTGTTTCCAGAACCTACAAACCCTGATAACTGTAACCAAGGCTGCTTCAGCTAGGAAGTCCACTAGTTAAATAGAGAGAAGGGCACAAAAGGACCTTGTAGTCTGAGGTCACAGAGCAGGTCCTGTGTAAGAGCACTAGACCTCTTCTATCTATTSCCTTTCTCAATTTATTGAGGAATATCAGAGCATTCCAGAGGTTCTCAGCTATCTCAGTTGTGGAAGAGTCTCCTCCAGAGCATGACTTGGATATGCTGTGGACAGCCTTTCCTCTGGCTGTCTAAGGAGCTCAGCTGAGATCATGCATAAGCTGGTACCTTGATCTCCCAAAAAATAGTGCTGAACTTTGACCTACATTTGTGGTGTGGCAACCTCGACCAGCTCTGCTGAGAGTTCATTTCTCAGGAAGAGGTTATGTACTGCGCAGTGTGACATACTTACTCATTTATTTGCTTTATTTTTAAACTCAGATGTATTTTTTGAATATTGCCTGTAACACTATGCTGCTGGGAGGGATCCCAGTTCYTCTCATTCCTTGAGGTTTTTGGATCTGTGGTTACTCTGCTGTTTGCTGGAAACGATGTACTGCCTGTGTTTATGATGAGGAAGCCATTTGTGCTGTTACAAACACATTGCWAATTAAATAACCCTGTTCTGGTTTGAATTTCGTGTTGCAGTTTTCACAGGGATACCCCTGGTTTCAGCACACGCCAGGCAGATGCTGCCGCACCTGCAGCACCCCACTGAGCAGCACTTACACCAAGGTCATGCCTTGTCACCCTTTTTGTCCTGCTGCCCCACTGACAATCACCAGGAGTGGCTGTGTCACACCAGCCCATGCTCCACAACTCAGGGCTCCTGCACCATCCTGAGAGAAGCAGTTTTTTCCTGGTTGACCTTGGATGGGGCTGCAAAGGGCATGAGGCTGCAGACTCCAGTCCACGTGCCCCTGTCCTGCTGTTTGGTGGTCACTTGAGGCTCCAGCTCTTCACCTTTCTGCCATCTGTTTCATATAGGCTTTTCTCATGTTAATTCCTAACCTACTTATTTGCTTATGAATAGGATAAATTATGTTTCTCCCTGGAGAAATCAAATGCTCCCGATCTGCGGTTCCTTCAGAGAGAAACCTGTGCCCAGGCTCAACAGAAATAATTGCCTCTGCCCCAGTGTAATGACAAAGAGATAAGCAATCTCTGTGGCCCAGCAGTTTAGTGAATCCATCTTCCCTTCCTAACAGCTGGATTAGAGGCTTTGTGCTCCCAGGCTCTGCAATAGTTTCCATCTCTCAGAGAATACAAATAATTGCTAAGAACAAACCATGCTATCACAGTTGTCATATATTTCTTGGTTGAGTTATCAGCAATAACTAATCTATCATCCAAGCTTTATTGTTTTGGCACCTTTGGGAGACATACATGAAGCACAATGAATATAAATCRCATTGCATTTTGACAGTATCTTAAGATTTATGGAGAAACTAAAGAGAAAACAGAACCATTTTGTATGTGGAAAAGATGGGAAAATTATTGATTCAAAACCCAGTTAGAATGGTCTCAGTCTAGTAAGACAATGGGAGATAAGTTTGTCTTCAGATCCATGGAACAATGACAGTGACCTGAAAATAGTAAAGGGTTTTTGAGCAGCTTCACTGAAGTCAATGTTGGGCAGGGACGGAGGTATTTTTTATTCCCAAAGTCACGGATAGACTGACACATAATGCTTTTGAAAATCCTGCCAATAATTTGTACTGTTTATAACAATGTAACAGTCACAAGGGTGTCTTTTCCATTTGATTTTTGAGGAAAAATGTTTTGCCACCAGAACAGCAGGAACAGATAAAATACTGGGAAGCCTCATTACAGCCACAAATATCTGTTCAACCCAGAGAACCTGAAGCTACGACACCACTGACATTTCCCATGAAAAATACTCTAGTCTCTGTTTATTTCCTCCTAGGTTCTGTAATAAGCTTCGAACCATTAAGGTGATTCTCAGAGMATGGAAGTGAATGACCTAACTTCTTAGCAACTTTATCCAGCCCCTCTGAGTCTGAGGCAAATCTTTCAGCTTCAAATCAGGTGGAAAAGACCTATGGCAGAAGGTTCTACTTCTGTTGTCCCTACAGAAAGAGGACAAGTTGGCTGTCAGTCCTGCCCCTGGCTGCTCACTCAGCTCCAGGAAAATTATCTTTGATGGCAGCACAAATCTGCACCTCAGGAAGACACATCTTATTCTTATCTTGTTGCTCTACTAAGATGTTACCAAGAATCCCAGGCTGATGCATTTTGATGAATTAAAACTTGATTCCCACTRAAAAAATGCCAGTGTGATAAAACCTGGTTTGAAACAAGTTAAATTGCTTTCAGTTGGATTAATGCCTGGTTTCATCAAAAGTGCTCTTTAAAAAAATATGAAAACATTTCCATCTCAAAATTAGTAATTTTATTAGGCCAGCCATACACTCTCATTAACCTATATTTTAGAGGTCAGTCACTAAACCGAGGTATTAATTATGCATGTAGACATAATTCCTAATTTCTAAAATAGTGATAAAATAGTCAGAGTTCAAAGAAAAAAGCAAAATTAAGAGAGATTGATTAGGAAATTACTGGAAAAAAGATCAGTAGAAACAAATGTCTTAAAGATGTGATTATCAAAGAAGAACACAGTGAAAAATGACAAGTCCCAAAGTAAGAAATTATAATGATAAAGTTTTAAACATGTACGCTTCTATTTTCTGTCCTCTAAAAAAAAAAACTGAAGATCAACAACAGACAAAGTAGCGTTAGGGATTTCTGACTGAACACACATGGAAGCACAGGCAATACCAAGCACAGGACATCAAACCCCAGGATAACAACTTGCCCAAAGATTTTAGTGCTGCATGAAGCCAATAGTTCAGAAACACCAGACAAATGTTCCTTTAAAAGGAGATGGTGACTGGTGGTTCATTTAGTGCACTGCGCAAACAGATCTTTGATCATCATTGACAGAAGACCTATAAAGGACAGATGTGAATATCAAATATCCTTTYCCTACTCAATGGTAGTGCTATTTACAAGATTATTCCCATAATTTTCACTATTTTATGATCTTCAAATAGCATAGCAACTAACATCTAGGTGACTTTTTCCATGAAAGATGGGACCAGAAGAACTTCCAAGATCTTTTCCAGCCTGGGCTGTTCTATGATTCTATTATTCTGTGAAAATATTTTTTTTTCTTATGTTTTAAGAGGTCCGATTTAGATGTACTATGAAAATAATGAAATTCTTCCAAAAAGATGCAAAGATCCTGGTTGTGGGTCTGCACAGGTGAAACAACCATGTAGCATATGGGATAAATTACCCTTCTTCGTGTCTGAGGTAGAAGAAGCAAAGGTGAAGTTAAGGAAGGTCAAGGACAGATTAAGAAAGGCAACTTTCTTAAGAACAGAACAACTGCTCTGAGTTTAATTTAATTGTTTTAATGAATGAGACAATTTGAAAAAAAAAAAGGAGTGGAGTGGAAAAGGATTTAGAAGAGGACAGAGATCATTAGTCCTAGTGGAATAAAAACTAAGACATTTGTGGAAGAGAAAGCTTAATGTGAAGTTTTTCTATTGTCTGTAAAGAAAGTGGAACTATGAATTTTTAAGTTCAGTTTCTGAAGGGAAAGAGGGCTCAGAGCTCGAACTTCATGAGAAGTATTGTCCCAATGCTAACCTGATCTTTATGTGTATTATCATCTTGTCCTGTAGCAATATTCTCTGCTCAGTGCCTGGATGAGGCAYGTCACATTTAGAAGAGCACCAGTGAAGTGTCTGTACTTTTCTTTATCACTCTTGGCAAGGGACACTTACTGCGCTGGCTGAAGAGTGGTGTTGGCTGATTTTAACACTTAACAGGCATAATTTTGCATCTCAAAATACTTTTTTTGCATATTAGCATATTKTGAGGTTTTCTCTTTCCCATGTCTCCAGTCTGCTAGTGCTGTAACAATACACAAAAAACCTGAAAAACAAACAAAAAAAAATTTAATCAACCACCCAAAAAACCCAAATGAGAAGAAGATATTTAGTGCTTTATCTTATAGAGAACAACTGCAAATATTTTTAGTCACCCAGGCATAACAAAATGAGATTTCTCCTATGTATTAGACTTCTTTAGCTTTTGGCACAGTTACACGAAACTGTGAGAGTTTTCTGGCTTGCTTTACAGCTTGAAATGTGGGTACATGACCTTCTCCTCACAAATAACTTACATTCTTAGCAGCTGCAGAAACCCAAGTGAGAAATTTGCTCTCAGAGGCTGCCACACCATACTGGTGGTCACCAAAGCTCTGAAAGATGCTTCAGGAGTGGTACAGTGGGGTAAAAACGGCTTCCTGCCTCATGCTGACCTTGTGAAATTTTTTTTTTTTGCTGTTTAGATCTGTCTGATAGTCATGTCTACTGGAATGCATTGCGCACCATCTCTACTAAAGCCAAAGAGAGGTTTCAAAGAGCATAAAATAATTAAAGTAATTTAAACCAAACCTTAATCTAAGACAACACCATATTTTCCTTTTTCTTTTTTTTCTTTTTCTTTTTTTTTTTTTTTTTTTTTTAAGAGAAAAGTTTTTTTACAACCCTTTTTTTTTGTTTTAGCTACAATAACTTCATGGCCATTTGCTAAACTCAAAATAATCTGTGTATCCCATAGAGACTGGGCACCGGTTTAAATAATCAAACCTTTCTTTTTCACCAGTACAAAACAAGCTTTTACCAGTTAAAAACCACTAGGGATCTATGCAAAATTTGAGAAAAATGGAAACCAAGATATGTAAGAAAATTACAGACTTTTCTTATATTTTAGAAAGTAGAGTTTCTCAGAGGGGAAAAATCCCAACTAAATTTGAGTAGCTTTTTTTTCAGGGTGTGCTATGCACTTCTGACATGAACACTCCCTAATTGTTCATCACATCAGAACATCTTCCTTGTGGTGCAAACATTGTAATTTTTAAGAAGTTGATACCTTTTATTTACCCATCACTGCATTAAAGAGACTTATCAGTCTTTTTTACGCATTTACTTACATTAAAGTGTGGCCTCAATTGATTCTCCTTAATTTTAGGGTATCAACTGCATTAAGAACCTAATCACTTGAGATGCTATGAGACCACTAAAACTGTCCTCTAGATATGTTCATTTCTTGTGAGGCCATGGAGGGCTCTTGGATGCCTCAGACACAGCCCAAACAGAGCTGGAACACACTGGTTAAGTGTTGAAGGCACACGGAGGAAGGGATGGGGGTTGTTTTTTTCCCCTCCTCTACAATAAACTTTTCCTTTGAGACTCCTGATTAACTCAGTCATTGATAGCAGACAGTGTTTTCCTTCTTTAGCTGATTAAAGCAATCAATTTCATGTGGCCCTGGAGGAACAATGGATCCATAAATATTTGTTTTCCTTTGCTACCTCTCTAAAAACAGGACTGCTCATATCTTCTGGAAAGGAACATGGAATGGGGACAAAGGGTGGGGGGAATCAAGTGSATGAAGTATGCTAAAGACTTGTTATGTTCACTGTAATTTGACTCTCTCCAGATTAAATAAAAGAGCTGGTACGGCTGCAATCTCATGTTGAACATGGTGCATACCAGCCTGAAAACTCGTAACCTTTATCCAGGCTGTGAATCAGATTGCGAAAGCTGATGTTCACACAACGGAACATTTTCCAAGACAAATGCCATCCATGGCTGCTGCCTGCCTCAGCTTGCTGTGCTGGAGGCGATATTCAYAGCGCTGACCCCGGGAGGGGCTTGGAGGAAAGACACTCCCCAGCAGCTGAGGAATAGGAATAAGAGAACTTCATGGCATGAAATGTAGTTTTGGAGCCTTAGCCCTCTAAAGGAGGGGACTGTGGGKATTTCTGTAATATTGGGACATTCTTTGCCTTCATTACCTTTCTTTGTGGTCTGCATTTCCTCMCAGCTTTAAAAATTACAYGAGAGTGGAATAGCAGTTGAGTRTTACCATCTCTTTCCTTCTGGTATRGGGAGGTTTGGGTCTCCTTRCCCAGAATCTCATRCTCTGGGGGCAGTGTAAGCTTTGCTTCAGGAGCTGTTGGCAAAGTCTCACCAGAAATATGTGGGATTCAAGCTTGCAAGTGCAGTCATGGTGCTTTGGTGTTTTTTTGTGCCCGTTGTTCCTGCCTGCTCCCAAATGTTAGGAAATTCTTTGTGCACACTCCTTGTTCTTATTGAGGGGGCAGGATGCAGGTGTTTAGGGTGCAGTTGACTGCCTGAACTAGGCTTTAAACAGAGGTCATTTKAGTTAGAGCTAGGTAAATAAACTGGCTGAGGCTGCTAAAATATCCTTTAAATATTTGTTTACTTTCTGCATTCCAGTGGTGTAGCTTACACACTATCACATCTACTTTTGCCAGTACAGGAAGAAAAGAAAACCATTCTTCTCTGCTCYGAGAGTCTGGAAGCCAAGTATGTGTCTGGAGCAATCTTGAGTGGCCGATTTATAGACATCCAGAAATACACATTTATCAAAAAGGGGCAGTGTGTCCCAACACCATACACAACAGTGGGGATTGCTGCAGTGCCTCAAACAGCAGAAACACAAAACAGAACAAAATCACCTAGAAGACATTAATAGTAAATTTTTAATCTGTTCTGTTTGAAGTAATCGTTTTCCTCAAATTAAAAAGGGTAAGGAAGATCCAGTGTCTTACTGGGTATCAAGTTTACCTGTCTGAACACTATTTTCATAATGTTTGTCTTAGGGCTTAGATATCCTTGCAAGTACAACTATTTTTSTCCCAGAAGCACAGTCTTTTGGCAGCAATCTCACACAATTTCACAATATGTTGTAATATATGAACATGAATTCTACTCTTAAAATGAAGTGGCTCATCATCTTTCGGGGGGAAGTTATGGAAGAAAACAGGAAGAACTGACCTATGGATATGAATGTTACTGACTACAAGGCAGACAGTGTTAAATAGTACAGTTCAWCCAGAGGGATCAGATGATCCCAGAACACTGAGAGAACTGGCACATGGAGGTAGAAGTCTGGTAGAAACCATTATAAATACACCCATCACATTGACTGTGGTAGCTTTTGACTAGAGAATAATAAACTTCYGAGCTATATTTGATGAAAGAAAAACACAAGGCAGGCATCCACTGAGCCATTTGTCAGTATCCATGATTTCAGAACAGTTTTCAAGAAAAACATGAGTAGAGATGTGGAAGAAATGCAACAATACTTACCAAATATGGATTCTGCAAGGCTTATCTGGCAACTTTTGTGCTAAGCTATTCCTGGATGAGGGGGATGAAGCAGAGCCAAACCATCCAGATTTGTCTAAAACACTTGCTATAGCCTTTGGTCRTGCCCTACATGAGAACTGAACTGAGATGGAGAAGATGAGGAAAATGGAAAGACATCACCAGCATGGAAATACTTCATCAGGAAAAAATGAGGTGCTGCTTTGAGTGGGTATCTATGGAGCTGAAAATGGCTTTTTTTATTTTACAGAGATTGGTCGTGAGGTGGGGCTGATTTAATAGTTTAGTTGATGGTCTTTCCATATGAAATGGGTACTCAAAAACTTTGCTAAAAACAGCAGGGAGTAGAGGTAAAGCAACAGGGGACTATGAATTAGCTCCAGAAATAAATGTTTTAAAGATTGGGAGGTTCCCAGTGCCCTGATTGCAACTTATATGACCTTGAAAAGTTCAAAATGCATGTTTTCTTTTTTGCCAAACTGTTCCCAAAAATGTAGTTTTRCTGAATAAGGTTGAGTTCCATGATACATTTACTTGTTTTTCTGCTTTCCTTCTTCAGCACTGAATTCTTCTTTTTCTCTGCTTCTGAGTGTTTTGAAGTGATTCTCATGACAATTGGAAAGGAAGACAAATCAAAACAACAACAAAAAAAAAAAAACACATAAAGAAGAGGAAAAGCTCTTGTGTTTCAAGATAGTAGTAAAAATGGGTAACTGGCTCACTGAATTATCCTTTTCTTTTTTGGCAGGATTATGCAAACTGTTTTCAAGAGTTAAGGCAGATTCTTGCTGGAAAAGGCAGCTCCTACAYAGGGTTTTAGACAGCTTGACAGGGCAATGATGCACTGCAAAAAAAAACCCCCTAAACATGTATCAGTAGCAGAGTTTTTGAAGGGTAAAGGCGCCATTGGGCTCTGCTGCACACACTCAGCTTGCAGATGGGTTTAGCAGCAGCTTCTGCTTAAGGAGAGCTTGAGGGGAGKGGGAGTGATCCTGCCACAGCATCCAGCTCTCATGTAACAGTTCCTGGACCTCAGCTGTGGGAAAAATAGTTTTTGGGGGTACCCACAGGCAGTCAGGAGGATTACCCTAATCAGTGCAGGTGCAGGGGACAAGGTCTGAGTCTCTTATTGAGGAACGTGCTTGGGAAGAATCAAGGGGGTGTGTTTTCCGATGGGGATTTTTTAAGGGCAACCTGCCAAGCATTTCAGCAGCTAATTATATTGGGAGTTTATTTTTTGAAGTGTTTATAAGTGATCCAAAAAGAGGGAGGTTTGATTCTTCCACTTGACATGTGCCAAATATAATTGGAATGATCACACACTGGTCAGTCTGTGAACAAATTGGATTTGCAATTTTGGCAATCACTCGGCTCTTGAAAGGCACTCTGGAAATCAGGATGGTTTGTTTCATGCAACGCTGACAGTTTGTGCACAAAAAAAGAATAGAAAAATAAGCACTTTCTTGCTAAACAAATAAGATCTAGGATGAAATTTGAATCTTTTGAAGTTGGTGGCACAATTCCCATTGGCCATGATTTCACCCCAAATCTTTCAGCAGTGAACCTAGTAGTTCCTAAATCTGCAGAAAAAAATGTTATGAAAAGTAATCTGGTAAGTGACTTTTTCTCCTTGCAATCATTACCAACTGTAAACACTGTATATGATCAAACTGACATTGTTYTGTAAAACATCCATAATCTATAGAAATTAGGAATGAAGAGAAGTCAGTATTTTCTTTAAGTCAATAACATAATGACAGGGGAAATATCTAAAAGTGCTTAAAACAAAGGCTGAGGACTTTTGCTGTTCTATCTTCAGTATTCTTGGCCATCTGGTCCTTTAAATTTATCAGCCTGCCATTCTGAAAATCTGGCTCAAGGTCAGTTTTTTTGTAACAATTTCTTTATTTTTATTCCTTCTGCAYTCTTTTTAATTGTTTTTGTCCTTCCTTTTAAAAGTCTGTGAGGATTGCTATTCAAAAAATTAAAAGGAGAAATAAGTAATAGTTACTTGCTTTGAATACTAACATTTCCTCTGTTCCACTTATTTATAATTATTATATATTTTCAGGTTTTATTATATTTATTATTAATTTGATTATTCTTGTATTATACTAATTAACAATTTAAAAACTACAAGAGTAAAAAYTGGGGTTTTTTTTTAATATTTCATTTGGCCCCTAATTCAGCAAAGAAATTTGATTGCCCATTAAGAGTAAACTTTTATTAAAGTCCAGTGTGACCTTAACATCTTATATATATTTCTCAAGAAAAATTTAATATATCTATAGACTTTTCATCTATAGAGCATCGGACTATGAATTTTAGATTGCCACTGTCCCTATCAAACAACATTCACTCTAAGTTTTTCTACCATCAGTTCAGGTTTTTTTTACTTTAGTGCCAGAAAAATACATTGTTTTAGTTATTTCTCTCTGCGTTGGATTCTCTTCTAACTCAGATTTTCAGTTTCAATGATTGTAAGTTTTTGTCAATGTAACAGTGGATAAAAATGGCCTTCAAAACAGTTTATTAACCCAACTATCTAACAAGAGCCACCATCTATCAAAAGCCAAGTTAGTTATTGCTCTGTTGGCTGCCACTGACASAGTTTAGCCTGTCTGAGAGCAAGACTCCCACTGAAACCAATGGAGCCATCAGAGCTCTGCATTTTTGAATGCCAGTCTATACTCAAAATGTACTTCTTTCATGAATAGTGTCTCTACTGTGTATTATTTACTCAGTAAATTTTATTCCATAGTACGAAGYACAGATGCTCACTTAATGATCAGGTAAACATAAAAACGTAAAAGCATATTAAAATCTGTGGAACTCAAATGTTAGCATTTGAACACCATGTAAATTTGCAGAAAGGACAATCAAGTCATGTAAATAAATGAATTGTGTTGATTTTCTGTCGTTATAGAATCACCTGAGATGTCAAGATATTCTTTGCATTTCTTTGCAGAAAATCTGGGTAACTTGGTGTGGCCTCTGTGTCATAGTTGTGATGTGCTACACAAATATCTAAGAAGAAAAGTATCAATTACCATTTTTGCCCCTTTCTTGCCTGGGTGCTGGATATTTTATTGAGCTAAAAACTATATTTTTCTTCAATTCTGCTGAGTCGAAGAAACTCCAGGAAAAAATTCCAGGACAGCACATGTAAAGAAATAGGTGTTTTTACTTGGTTCTGGTGGATTTTGGAAATCAAACACACTGGGGATTGGAGTGCAAAGGCCAAAAGGAGAACTGCTCAATTAAGTTTTGTGGTCCATTGCTGACATTTTTTCTCACTGCTGAACACTTCTGACTGATGCTACTGCCAGTCCTGCCACAGGTTCACCCTGCCTGGTGCTTGGGGTGGGTCTTGACAACCCACAGGAGGGGAAGTTCTGCTATCAAAAATTACAAACTGCTTTGCCTGTGACAGCATTTTTCTTGAGAGGGTTTTCAAGTTTTAACTGTGTTTCTGGCTTCACAGAACACTTCACAGAAAGCTTTCTATGCAACATTTGTGTAGGGGCTTTGCTAATATTTGTGCTCTGCCAATTTTAGGCTTGTGGCTTTATGGGAAGAGGATAAGGAGAAATAAAAGAATATTTAATATCATTTGGAACTCGAACAACAGACATCTCTTCCATTAATCCTTAGTTTATGGGAACGAATGGATTGYTCAATTCTTCTGCTGTCTTCCTCCAAAGTCACTAAAAATTACTCRCAAAATAAAATGAGGCTGATGCATGAACCATAAAACATTTGGATTAATTAGTTGGTGGTACCAGTCTTCTGATGGAAATCTTTTTTCACCTTCTGTTCTACAGGTCCTTCTCGTGTTCATGCCTTCCCTTCCTTAACTTGTCTAACCTCTCATTTCCTCACACATKCCCATGTTGGTTGGCAGTGCCACTCCAGTTCCTCTTTACTGAAGCAGACTGGTAAGACCATGTTAGCTTGTTTGATATTTATTAATCCTCTGTATTTATCTTGAATCACAAGAGCTTCTGSCAGGAGTGACCTATCCCTTGCTCCTTTCTCTGTGTCTGACAAGACTTGGGCTTTGACTCTTCCTGCTCTATGTGCATGAGAAAACTSTCAGGGCAGTAATGTCTTGTGTCTCACAAACACTTATGAAGAAGCCTTGGTCACCTTCACATACTGTCCCAAGGACATTTATTTCATTTAGAACATACAGGGGTTCAGGAAAAAAAAATTCAAAAGATAAGAGGATGGTAAACACAGATACTCAAGCTAATGCAGAGCCCATCGCTGTTCTTGCTTGTATTTTCTTTTAATCTGTGATTTGCTTGGGGCTATGGCTGCTGTAACCCTATGGCTGTTCACACATTAGCCAAAAGCTCTGTAATTTAAATGCCCTTTACTGTAGCCTAAATTCTTCAAATATGTTCAATGAGGGAGCTAATTTCTTRAAAGATGAATGTCCTTAGGCATTCAGTATAAAGCTCTCCAAAGTTAATTCCTATTGATTTCAAGAGCAATTGGATCAAACCTTTTTCGCATAAAAGATATTTTAATGTTGGTTCCTTTTTGTTTTATTTTTATTTTAGCATTTACTAAAGGACCACAATGGAAAAGCTGCAAAAATGAGCCCTTTTTGTCTTGCATTTTTTTTAATTGGCAATGAGAACCTTTGATTCTGTATTTATCATTCATGTGATACTTCTTTCCACAGATGTTTCAAATTAGATAGGATATGTAGCATTTATGTACTCTCACYAGCAAACAGCCAGCACCCAAACTTGCCAAACAAGAGGTGTATTTGCTTGGCCTGGTATCCTGTTGGCTTTGGACCTAGTAAGCACAAACTGTGGCCATTTTTAGTGTTTCTAAGAGAAACCTATTTGYTGCCTGTTTGCTTTAGTGTAAGTCAGGCAGGTGCTTAGGCAACAGTGCCWTTCTGAACATGGTTGGCATGTAAGCAACCGAACCTTGCACAGAATTCCATTCCGCTGTGAAGGAGAGCTGCTGCATTTACYGTTCTTCCCCCACCATGTTCCCACAGTAAGGATGCTTATTTTTAAGCTTTTTTTTTCCCCTTTCCCACATTCTTCCTTCTTTTTTATAACATACATATAATTGTAAAAATATAAAGGGGCCAAAGGTTTGCTTTTGGAGTGGTAGATGCCCAGGACAGCTAGGGTTCATCCAAGACAGAAAGTCTTTAGGATACAACTTCAATTATTTTGTGGGCATGTACCAATATTACAAATRATTTGCTTTTACTTTCAAGACCATGGAGACCACAGGGAGCTCAGCATGTTGCTGTGCTTTCCGTTTAAGCAAGGGACTGGTCCAAAACCAGTGCTCACAAGCAGTAACATAAGCAGGGCTGCCAAGGTACCAAGACAGAGAATCTCACAGTAGTGGTTTAGAAATAGACTTCCTTCTCTCAAACATGCCCATGTTCAGTTCCATTTACGAGTCCTTGCAGTGTTTTAAACACAGGGTGTCCCTCACTTTGYATGTGGACTGAGATAAGTGTCAAGGCTGGCTTGACCAAGAAATTGTATCCAGCAAGAGGCAGACTGGGGAGCTGGATGGACACAGCTTCTTTTCTGTTCTGTCTTTTCTTTTCTGTCTGTTGCTTTGCCATTTTCCAGTCCGGCAGCCTGGTCCTTGATAAGTTCTGTTTGCAGAAAGGTAAGACCAAAACTTCAKCTTTCTGCTTAATGAGATGCTGTTTAATTCCATGCCACATTTCTAATGTGAAAGCTGCATGTAACATCTGAATTCAGGAGTATAATAGACAAGGTTGTCAGGTTTTGAGAAYACACTTACCTTGTTTGCCTAGAGAAGGCATAATTTTAGCAGGTGTTACTTACATCTTTACATTGACCTTAGAAAATCACTTCATTCTTGTACATAGGGAGAATTTTCCTCTGCTGGTTCACTCCTTGGCCTCCTTCTAAGCATGCAAATCTGGAAGTTTGTTTCATGCATGGGAACAAAATATACTTTTACAATAGAAAGCAACATTATTTGGTTTTATTCTGTTTTGGTTTCATGTGGTAACACTGGCGAAGTAATTATACCAGGCACTCAAGTTAAATCAGGCCTACATAATATCTGCACCCTGAGTTATACTTGGCAGTGTACAAATATGTTGAAAGTCATGGGAAGTGAGCAGACCTTGAAAAAATATGGACCCTCCAAATGTTGATATCATTGCTGTAAACTTTTTCCTTGCTCTGGTATTTGGAGTACTCTACACTGTTTAATTTGAGCTATTAACATTCCAAATGAAAGTAGCAAGAACTCCACCATAAGTTTATCTTTCTTTGACTAATCTTAACATGCACCCAAGTCTCTGTCTCGCTTTCCAAGAACCACATGGTACGGTTATATTTCAGAAGCACGTTATCTGTGCTGTCTGCTTTAGCCATTTTACTGACACTGCCTAAGTGGCCCCCCTGGAAGCACTTACCTCTCTCCAGTGACTATGTAGGGAGTTTGCTCTTCTAATTTTTCTCTTCTGAATCAGAGCAAAATTAGATCTTACAGTAGACTAGACCAAACTATGCCAATAAATCCACCAGTGTCAAGGTCTGGTTTTGATCCTTTAAATCTTATTCATGCAAGTAAATCAGCATTGCTGTTTGTGGAGTGGAAGAGAAGCAAAGCTATGTTATTAAAGGTCACAGGACCAGGGCTTCAGAACTTCTATGGCTTTTGCTTCATCAGCCTTAAAATTCCCATGCTCAGCTCCCTCCCTCCATTACTGTATTTTAGCCAATTTCTAAGTAATATTCCCAGCACAATATAATCTCGAACTTCAAAGAAGGCTTTTTTTTTTTTTTTTTTTTTTTTTTTTTTTTTTTTTTTTTTTTACAGTTGTAGTAAAAGCACAGTTATGAAAATAAACAGCAGCTAATAATATAATAATGATGAAAAGGGCAAGACACAACATAATCCAGTCAAAGAGGTTCAGTCCTACATTACTTCTTCACCAAAGACCACATATGGATACACACACGTGCAGAGGCACTCACTGAACCTCTACACAGAATCTACCCCTAGCTTACCCAGTCCCTCCACTTTATTACTGACTGATACAGCAAAGCCTTTTGGCATTAATCTAAAAAAAATTGCAATGAATATTTATAAAAAGATACTGAGGAACAGGATTTGAAAGAATCTTCTTTCTCTGCAACCACAGTTTCAGGTGGCTTCCATGTGTTTTCCTTTAACATTYAAATCTGACATGTAAGTGCATTTTCTTGACAATTACCAGACTGATGTAKTGTTACTGTAAGAAAAAATAATGCCAGGTGAAAAAAGGGGAAGTACTATGATTATAAAGCACCCATTTACAGCTTACAATATCTCTGATACACAATTCTATGGCAGGGATTTCAATCCCTTTTTCTTTCAGCAGTTAAGTTTCTTCTCTCTGAAAGGCCATGAAGTGCACAAACACAAAACCAATGGCAAGATATCTGAAAATTAATGAGTCACTGTAGGGTGAAAAAGCTATGGGGAACAGTGGAAAAGAAGCCTCAGGGGGCTGGAAAACCCAAAAAACACTTGAAAAAAATTATTTTTGTCAATCTAAACACTTTCTATTTCAAAGACTTTAAAAATGGGCAATTCTTGTGGAAGGGAGTGTTTTGTGGAAAATTCCATTCTGTTGAAAGAATGACTTCTGGCAGTAGTAAAATTCACAGCTGTGATTCAAGGAAGCAGAGGATACCACATACCAAGAAGAGCACATTCCCCTTCCAGCACCCAGAAACTGGRACACTGGCCTCCAAACACTTCTCAATACTTAACGCAAGGACAGTCCTTTGCTGTCATAATTTCATTTATGTCACATGATATGTGACAGCTGTTTGTCTAGGGTGGTGCTTAGTAAAATGTAATACCGGGAAAGTTTTGCACCTCCCAAAGCATATATGGGATGAAGTCACTTCTAGCTCAGGTACTCAGTATCTGCTGGCCTCAGCTGCTGAACTAAAAAATCTGTTTAAAATATACCATCATTCCAAATAAAGTTAATTCTGACACAAAAGAAAAATATGCAATATTCTGACAATATTTTAGGTTTATCTAATTAATTGATTTCAGTAGAAGTCGGTCACCAAATTCCTGGTAGAAATTTTAGCCGTAGAAAGTAGTGGAAATAACATAACRGCAGGGGAAGTATCTAAAAGTGCTTAAAACAAAGGCTGAGGACTTTTTATGCTCTATCTTAGCAGTAGAAAGTAGTGGGACACTCACAGTATTAACAGAATTATGCAAATGGAAAGGTGTTGTAGTGAGAAAAAGATAAAGACAACTTTGGAGAGTTGAGTACAAGTACTAGGTTTTAAAAGGCAAAGGTTTTTTTCAGGATGCCAGCCATGTTATACAGGTGTTTCTCCAAGATAAGAACACAAAGGTCAAGAGGACTGTACAAAATCCCCTGGTGAAGGGTGAAGTGAATACTTGGTGGCCGCTTGAGAGGACACAGGGAGTGGTCTGAAAGGAGAAAGGAAAAACTGTAGCCAGGCAATTTGACAAGCACACAGGTAGCACTACACACAGACTTTGCAGGACATTCAGTTCATTAATTCAAATTCAAATGTGATGATRCTCCTTGCTAGAAAAGGATGAGATTCACCATGGTACCCTGGTTGCTTTCAAAAGCTTTCATTTATCATACATTCTTTCGATTTTCAGGTTTCAAGTGGCACTCCAGTAGAAGAATTCCCTTTTCTTTCCTTCTTCCAAAAATTACTAAAGGATGTAATACATATTGAGGAGCSAAGGCACCAGGAGGGATTAACCACATTGTTCATGCTTTCTGTTGACTCTACTCAGTGCAAGATSTAGGCAAGTATAAATATGGGTTGCAAAGAATGATTCTACCATGGAAGGTAAAATCTGTATTCAGTTCCCCAGGCACAAAAAAAATACTTGCATAARAAGAAGAGATCTTTGAGGTTCAGTAAAGAGTGAAGTTCTCTAGTTTTTGAGCAGTGCACAAGACCATTACAGAAAGAAGGCATGGATCGCTTATGACCCCTGTCCAGGAGAAAGTGTGAAAATGGTCTTGAGAAAAACCTGGAAATTTTACTTTCTTCCAGGAAATCAGTYGGAAAAATCTTYAATGATTTTGGAAATAAATTCTGATGTGTTGCACTGTCCAAAATCAACTTTCCAATGAAGCCAGTGGCAATGCTCTTGTGGATTTCAGAGGCTATCAGACAAAGGTGTAACTTTTGATACAGAAAACAGTACTACACAATTCATTTTGTGCTAAGAGATGTCAGACCAGATTTGTCAAGATGTTTTAATCGTTCAGCTTCAATTGAACTAAGTAGAGACAGGCAGTGCAGTAACACTCTTCTGAACCATCTGTATCAAATTAATTGACTTAAATCTGAAAGTCATTCTATAAATCCCTATGATCAAGTAATACGTTAGATCACTTAAACAGATCATGTTTCTATGTTTAATTGAAGCAGTAGCTGTCTAACATACAATGATTTTTTTTCATCCAAGGTTACATGCTTGTTATCTATTAACATTTATGATTCTTGGTTTAGTTTTACTACCTACAGAAAACTTAGAAAAACAAACATACAGAATCTATGTAAATTATGCATTTATTTAGACATGTCAAAATTTTAAGGTTTATTACTTGCTGACTCCATTAACCTTAACTTACTTCATAGACTATACTGTTTGGGCACCTATGCTGGTTTTAATGGCACCTTATAATATACTTTCACTAAAATCCAGAAAGAAACTCTCTATCTATCTTAGAGGTGCATGACTTTCTTTAAAAACAGCCTGGATTTTGCAAGGGAAGAATGACTTTTTTATCTCTGTGACAGAAATCCCAGCTGACAGCCCTGTTTATGCTACAGAAAATAATGACTGCTGACAGTCTCAAGGACCACCCGGTGGGTTATTTACATTTGAAACATTTGAAATCAACTCTGTTTAGATAATGTTTCAGTTTTCAATCTGGCTTGCCTGCACATGTTGCTTGTAGGCTTTATTAAAGCTAGTACATCTCATTGGAATTGTAATCAATAATGTCCCAGTTTAATACTGTCAGCCAGGATCTATTAACATGGAACTGCTGAGTTTCATGYTAAACAGTTCGTTCATTTGGATTTTGGAGCCCAGTTGTTAACAGCAAACTCTTCATGTTTAAGAAAACTGACATTTTTAAAATGTAAAAGAATTAGCCTTCTAATTCTAACATCATCCTCAAGAGAGGAATATAAATATAATTTTTATATATATTATATAATGTAGAAGAATGATATTCCAGTTTACCTGAGTTCCTTAGGCTTGGAATTTACACTGTTGCTAGATATTATCAACAATTAATATTGTTAAATTAAAATAACCCATTTAACAATGCATGATTTGAAAAGTTTTATAAAGTAACAACTTTTCATAAGATCTGTATTTTCTTCAGATCAGGAAGTTTTCTTTCCAGATCTTTGTTTTGCCAAGAATATTTCCAAACTGATCAAAGAATAATAACTTGAAGGGTGTTACATTAATCTAAACCAATTCTCTGAATACCAAGTTAGATGGATACATATTTTTAAGCAGCATTTGTCTTAGTACCAAAAAAGGCAATGATGAAATAAGAAGATAGCTTGAGTATGTCAAAATTAGCAACTAAGATTAATATCCCATATTAATTCTTATTACCAAAGCAGATATGAACTTCTATTGCTGTTAATTATATCTTTTTCTTTCTTAGATTTTTCATTCTTCATTCCCAGTGGCAGTGATCCATAGTGTCAGTTCACATTCCAGTTTGGAAACATCAGTTAATAGGATTTGAAATGGTGTCTCCTTCCTTAATCTAGCAGGTCATGGAGAAAAAATCATACTTATTTTTGAAATGCAAGTATAAAGGATTTAAAAACAGAGTTCTTCCTGAGGSATTCACTACAAAATGACATTAGGAGGCAGTTTCATGGAACAAGTTAATATTCTGTACTGCAGACTGCAGAAAGCACTCTAGAAGGCACTTCATTCAACCTACCTCTCAACTGACTGCTTTGGAAAAATAGACATCCAAATTGGGAGGACTCCTAAACCTTTATGAACAAGTACCTGGAAGTCAATGGCACAAATCCAGGTCTATTTTCAAAAATAAAAATGCTCTTTGAAAGATGTGTTGGTCAGTGCTGGCTATGCTTGCCCTCCACTTCAAGGCCAAGTGCAAGACCCTRCACMYRGGTCAGGGAAATCCCAAGCACAAGKACAGGTTTGGCAGAGAATGGACTGAGAGCAGCCTCAGGGGGAACAATTTGGGGGTGTTGATGGACAAAAAGCTCAACATGAGCAAGCAATCTCACTTGCAGCCCAATGCAAGTGACATTGCATCCTGAGACAAATGCATCCTGAGACAAATGCATCCTGAGACAAATGCATCCTGAGTTGCATCAAAAGTAGTGTGGCCAGCAATTTTTGAGAGGTGATTCTATCTCTTTATTACATTCCTGCGAGACCCCACCTGGAAGTCTGTGAGACCCCAGCCCTGGGGCCCCAACATGTGAAAGACATGGACCTGCTGGACTAAGYCCAAAGGAGGGCCACTAATATGATCAGGGCTGGAGAATCTCTCCTAGAAAGACAGGCTGAGAGAGCTGGGGTGGTTCAGCCTGGAGAAGACTCCAGGGAGATCTTAGAGCACCTTCCAGTACCTAAAGGGGRCCTGCAAGAGATCTGGAGAGCTTTTTTATAAGGCCATGTAGTGACAGAACAAGGGGGAATGGYTTTAAGATGAAGGACGGTAGGTTTAGATTAGGTATTAGYAATAAATTATTGTGAGGGTGGTGAGGCACTGGAATAGGTTGCTCARAGGAGTKGTGGGTGCCCCATCCCTGAAAGTGTTTAAAGCCAGATTGGATGGGCTCTGMGCAACCTGGTCTAGTGGAAGGTATCCCTGCCCATGGCAGGGGTTTGGAACTAGATGATCCTTAAGGTCCCTTCCATTCCGAGCCATTCTATGATTCCACTTTTGGTTTTTAGCATTTATCTGCCCTGCAGCAATGAATCCTACTCTATAGAAGGGGACCTCTGTATCACAAGATAAAGCCCTGCTACAAGAGGAAAATGCTTCACACTGTGAAATACTCCAGTTTAAGCTAATATAATGTTCCAAAGCTTGAGAAGACAAAATGAGGACATAGTCTGTAGGATTTTAATTTTTATATAATTATTATTTTTTAATGCAATCAAAAGAGCAATTGGTACTAAAAATCTTCAAAAAKAAACTCTGGTTCCTTTGGCTGCCATGTTCTTGAACAGACTCTAAGGGATCTATAGGAAAAGATGTTGGCACTCTGCACAGAAATCTGCCAAGCTCAGGGTTGCTTCAGAGCTTAAGCTCTAACAGGCTTTAAACATGTGAGACAGCCTTTCAAAGGATAGAAGTAATGATCAGAAGAACACATAGATGGTACACAGGAAAAAAATTCTTAGCATGGACTGATGCAAAGCAAGTGTCCTTTCTGGTAAGAATGTGAGCTACTGAAATCTACATTAAGAGAACCTATTGCTWGAGAGTGTGATGGCCACAAAGAAAATATTGATTGGATTGTTTTCAGAGGCTTATAAATGCATCAGTAATCTCTGTTTTATACTGTCATTTGAGSAGCACTATGGGTCCCAGTAAAGTGAGGAGAATAATGTAGATTTTAAGTAAATGTAGCATCATTTAACATCTAGTATACCTCAMGCTATCAAAAGAATCCCACTAATGCAAAAGCAGCTGGAACAGGCCCAAGCATTTTCAGCATTCCCAGAAGKAAAGCAGGGGTTAGTCTGAAAAGCATGAAATAAGATATGCAGGAGTGATCCAAAACACATCAAATACAATCTTCTGCTGCAAAATCTTAAAACAGCTTGTTTTGGTTCACATTTGTAAGAATCTGATGGCTGACACGAAACCAATTAGAATAAGAGACTGATGTTTTGAATTTCTGGCTTAACTGTGGCCTTAATTTTGACATCAGATATGACAGAAGGAAATTGGGAAAATTAAAATACAAGACACACTAAAGGGAATACAAGGCTGAGAGCAAGTAATAGCCTGAGACAGGTTTTAAAAGGTAATCGACAGATCTAGTTTATACAAAAAATGACCATGTTTGAGACCAATTAGACCCAGTATTTTAACAGACATCACCTCTGCTTCAAAATAGTTAATTCTGACCCAAATTTCTCCAGTTGATAAAATATTATAGAATGGTAGATATTTAAGTGACTTGATACTTTAGTAATCAAAAATGTCTCCCAAGCAGCTGCAATCTGCAATCTGTCAATCTGTGAGAATACTTTTGCATCCAGGTGCTTTATTTATTTCCCTCAAGAGCATCATCTAAATTTATTGAAAGGCATAAACTCACATTTAGTTGGCATGAAATTAGAATCCAAAAAAGATTTAAAACTCTTGTAGAAAAYGACTTGACTAGCATTTGCATTTGGAAAGCCAAATTAAAATGTCTGAAAGCATAAAAGACACTGCAATATTGTGAAAATAGAATGTTCAGAAACTCAGAAGTCTAATAATGTTTGTTGTGAGACCACATAGCTGATTTGACAGAACAAAAACTTTAATTTACAGGAATTATGCAAGAATTTAGGCTGCTAAAGCCAGGTAACTAGTTTTGGGKTTTTTTTTCTTCCYAAACTAACTGTGTACAGTGGTTAGTATTACTCAGATGTTCAGAGGCCACAGGAAGGTTAGGATCAATTGCCCTGGACACTGTCAAACATAGTCCTCAGGCAGTCAGCCRCTAATTGGCCACATATAGCACAGGAATAGCACAAGACTGAGAAGGATACAGAGGTGGAAAAGAACAAGGGAAGAGAAGAAGCTCTTTACTACAAATATCTTAAACCATAAAATTACTTTAAGCATTTTTATTGCTTTTTTGAATGGAATTATTTGCATTCAAGCAGTCCATGGAAACCCTTCATATAGCCAGAATGCCCTTCAGGCTCACATTACTAYGGACAATGTCCTCAGGCTGGAAAAGCAAAGCAGCTCCTCATTCTTCAGCGAGGCAGATCTTCCCTGTGGCAGACAGCCACATTCAGCTCCTCCCATTTCTCTGCCTGTGACTGACACTCCTGTATAAAACACATTCTCAAGCCAAAGCCTTGAAATAGGYGTATAAGCATGTTAGGAGTATTTGCCTCTTCCAGAATGTCAAATGGGATGTGAACTTCCCCAGGTASAAGGCTCAAAAACTTGTGAAGAGAATTCTAAAGTGGTGCTACCTACAAGCTTTATAAAGGCAGATGCAAAGGCTCATCTTAGCAATGCAGATGGCAGAACTCCTCTGCAGTCTAAAATTATCAGAATTGTTATTTTTACTGTCAAAAACCAGATGTAGGTAAAGAATTACAGACTGGAAAGRAGGTATAGAGTATGTGGATATCAATTTAGCACAAGGATTAGCACACATTAGTTTATACACTCCTGACATTTAAGAAACTATTTGCATTCAATATTGGATGAAATGAACTAAAAATCTTTTCCAAAGAATGAAGCTTACCATTTCTTCTTATTTATTTTTCTTACATTAGTTATGGCATGGGAAAAGCCCAAGAGGTTTTCTTTGTAGTATTTCTAATTCAATTAAGAGCAAGAACCAATTAAAAAGTCAAATTGTTTCCCATGAACTTTTAGACTGAAGTGTTGGATAAATTTAGATTCCCAATAAAAACTAATTTGATTTCAAAATGTTCTGGCCAAGTTTTTTAGAAACGGATGCTTATMGGTAGGATGCTGTGTCTATATTTTTAGGTAATATAAAAGAAAGATCTAATTTTCAAAGGTTCTACCCATCTAAGTACTCTCAATTGAATCAACATAAACAGCTGAAGTTTAGCTCCCTTTGGACCAGACAATTYTTTCACAGATAAATTCCAAGTATGAACAATTTTTCTGTCTTTCTTATGATCCTATGGGCATAGGTTATGTAGAGAATAATTCTGTTTTTGACAGAAATGTATGCAATATAGTTTTAAGTCTCTAAAATTTGGTTTSATCTGCAAAAACCTGGCTTCAAAATTTATGAAAATGCTATTAGAGCTACTGTAGAAATTTACTGAGTTTTTAAAAGAGAATTATAGTCATTTTTCAGGAACATGCCAGTACTCAATCAGGAATTCTGCCTGCCATCCTACTCCCAATTTATGAMGGCAAACCTCACTGAGGAAGACATGCAGTTAGACTGGGCTGGTCCTTACCCAAGCAGAGTTCCAAAATAACCACCACTGTGTATGTGTGTGTGTGTGTATGTGCATACTGAAAGAGTGAACAGAACACTCAATCAAGACCGGCCCGAAAAAATTTTGTGAAAGGTTCGATAAACAGGAGTATTTGGYCTGATATGAGAAGGGAGAGTGGGATTAAATGTTTACTTGCTGCTGAAGACTTGGAGATATTAGCCATGATGGAACTTTACACCTGCACATAACAGAAATATTTTTTGGTCTGCAACAGCCTGCAAGAAAAAAAAGAAAATGAATGGAGGTGAAAAGTTTTGTAATTATACCATGAAAGTAACTTTTAAAATCATGCATTAAAGCTAAATTACTAGTAAATGAACAGATTTTTTTTTTTTTAAATGTATCATAATAGAATCTGAACACTGTCTAATTATATTTATGGCCATGTATTCAAAGTATTACAAAGATATGTAAAGGGACAAAATTATATATGCTGCCAAAGATACGTTAGGAATCACAGAACSACAGAATCACCTGGGTCAGGTTGGAAGGAGCCACAGTGGGTCCTTTGYTCTGCCTGRAGGAGACTGAGGGGAGACCTCAGTGCAGTTACAACTTCCTCCTGAGGGGAAGAGGAGGGGCAGACACTGATCTCTTCTCTGTGGGGACCAGGGACAGGACCCAAGGGAAYRGCCTGAAGTTGTGTCAGGGGAGGTTTAGGTTGGATGTGAGAAAAAGGTTCTTCATCCAGAGCCTGGAACAGGCTCCCCAGGGCAGGAGTCACAGCACAAAGCCTGACAGAGCTCAAGAAATGTTTGGACAGTGCTCTCATGCACATGGTGTGACTCTTGGGGATGGTGCTGTGTAGTGACAGGAGCTGGACTTGATGATCCTTGTGGTTCCCTTCCAACTCAGCTGATTCTGTGATTCTGTCATCTGCTMTAAGCTCTCTGCTCAAGCAGGATCATTGTACAGCACACTGCACAGGATTTCACAACCTCTCTGGGCAATCTGTTCCAGTGCTCAGTCACCACACAGTAAAGAAGTTCTTCCTCATGTTCAGGTGGAACTTCCTRTGCATCAGTTTCTGCCTGTTGCCTCTTGCCCTGCTGTTTAGCAGCACCGAGCAGAGCCTGGAAGCATCCTCTGACAMCTCCCTTCAGACACTGACAGACATTGATCATGTCCCCTCTCAGTTGTCTTTTCTGGAGGCTGAAAGGCCCAACTTCCTCAGCCTTTCCTCATAAGAGAGATGTTCCAGTCTCTTAATCTTGTAGCCCTCCATGGGACCTGCTCCAGGTGCTCCAGGTCTCTCTTGTCCTGAGGAGCCCAGAACTGGACACAGCACTCCAGGTAACTGCTTACAAAAGCAGGAYAATAGAATATAGAATAGAACCTGCTCACTCAACACACAGCAGAAGCACTTCACCTGTAATCTCTGTACCTTTTACTAAGTATCCCCTTGATGGAATCCCATGGCTCCATAACATTTTTTCTCTTTTAGTACAGATTCCCACTGATTTGGTGCTGCAGACATCTATCTTCCCAACTCACACTAACACCTGGATACCAGGTACCTGCATACATTAAATGCTATGTGTCAGAGGCACCATCTTCTTCAGTATCCTTCTTTTGGATCTGGTCAGGCAGCCTGTGGCAAAGGAACACATACATTAATTTTCATTGATGGAAAACCTCTCTTATCAGAACATGGGTCTCATGGGTGACTGTGCATCTCTAGGTTTTGTTCCTAGACCTACTACAGAGAACTTGAGATAAAACCACTGCTCCTTACAGATCTCTTAGTTTACTGAAATGTGCACACTGCCTTTTACTGTAAAGTGCTTTTGCTGTAACAACCCATTTGGAATTAGCYTAAACTGACTGATGTGAGCTGATCCAGCCTGTATCAATGACATCTGGAATCAGGCAGTAGTGTTTGGTAACGTTCAAGGTTTGTTTTTGACAAGCAATKGCTTTTCTTGCATTAGGCTAATTTGCTGAACCTTCTCCTTCCTAAATTACATTGAAATTAAGTAAGACATTTTCCACGTATAAGATATGCTTTCCATTTAATATTTGTCCCTCAAAATGCAGTCTGGATTTAGTAATTAATCAGTGATATCCTGCAAAGTCTACAGACTATAATGAAGACAATCCTCATTTTACCCCAAACTCCACTAAGACAATCCAAGAAACTGAATTTACATAAACAATAAAAAGATTTTACTGTGCAAGTTCATAAATTCTGTCGGTTTCACAGATGAAGACACTTGAGATGAGTTAAGAAGCTTTAACAACTCTACATAAAGGCAAGTACACTGGCTGAAAAAGCAGCCAGCATTCTGGAAATGACTGATGAAGCACTACAGCAGAATTCTGCTAGTGGATGCCTCAGCTTATACTGTGTAACTAAAGTATAGCAACAGGATATCGTAAATGCAAGGGTTATTCTTTGTGAATATGTGACAATATCTAGCTTCTGAGTCTGTCACACTATTATAAATCCTGTTCACTGAGTTCTGATAGTGGTTTATTCAATGTTTTCTGTCTTAAGAAGCAATAGATGCAGTCTTGTCAAAGGCAAGCACAGAACCTGCTTTCTCACCTCAAACTGGCAGATGCTACAACAGTCCTTCTAAAGGCATATATTAAGATTTCCACTGCAGCTACATGAGGCTGTATAACTCTTTCCCACTAGCTGGAAAATATTTTTAAAAAACACYTTCAAGAAGTATGGATCTGTTTGGTGGCAGTATCTGTTTGAAGACAGATATCTGTCTGATCTATGAGACAAAGCAGATGAAGGATGGTCATTGAAAGGTTGCAAATGCATTTCACTATGGTTTCAGTGTCTTCTGTCTCATTTTGAGTTTGTTCATGTAAATGTATTTTGGCCCCATCTCAAAGACACCCAGAAACTTTTGCCAATGAGTAGAACTGAATAACTTCCTAATGCTGTCTTCATCTACACTAGATTTAGCCTTACCTTTCAGAAGGGAGAATTTAAAGCTAAAGATYAGTGGATTGTAACAGATCAGCTGTAATCTGGTTGCTGGAAAAAGACCACACATACTAATTTTCTGGTCCTCTTGGCACWGTTAGAAGAAACAAGGACTTAAGAAAACACATTTTCAAGTGGGGAAAACCAGAGACTGATGGAGCATAATCATTGTTGCACTACCTCCATATAAGAGGAAAATTCAGCATATTCAGCATTGAGAAGAAAACTAAACTGGTTCTAAAAAACTTGAAGTCTCATTCTCACCTCTGCACTGATTTGCCAYATCAACTTTAAAGGCAGTATCTGTATCTGTAAAATATAGTTCATTTACAAATATCCTCAAAAYTAAGTTGAAATCTGAAAATGATAGTGCTATACATTACCATCATATCTATCCTACAGAAGTATCTTCCCTATCTTACTGTWATAAATGTACTCTATTTACTCTGTAGTTTACTCTGTGTTGCCCTTTCCTTAAAGATTAAACATTCAAAAAGTCTTAAATGGGAAGAAGCAGGAAGAATTCATGCTCACTTGTGAACCAGAAATATCTCTATCTTGTGGATACAGATCTGTGGAACAAGTTCCTACAGGAATCAAGGATAAACCTCTATGTTTTCTGAGGGACTATTCATGCATTTTACTAAACCAACTTCCACAAGTGTTTAAATTCTCCAAAGATGAGGSCAATATAAGACAGGCTATCAGAGAAGCTGAACTGCTTAACTGCCACAGAGCTTTTTTAAAAAAGGTCTCTGTATGCCTAACAATGACAAACATTACAGAGCAGACCTATAGTTAGTAAACCTAAARTTACTAAAAAAATGTAATATCTAGAATGATTTTTGAAACCAAGTATGAAGGTAATTTTATCTGCCATACCTGTGAAAAAGTATCTGCATTTACTAGTAAAGAACTGGGACTCAGACACGGTTTGAAGCAAATTTAAGAGCATTTATTAAGAGACCATAAATTACAACTAAATTGAAATCAACTTTTTTTTTAGCATGTCTTATTTTAAATAGTTTCCAATTTTTCCCTCATTTAAAAAATAAATCCATACAGCAAAACWGAACTGAAACTATGCACAAATTGGATTACTTTTTATATGGCAACTCACTCAAAAATAAAATTCTCATAAAGTGACTATCACCTACTGTTTACTTAAGAAATAAGTTTAGGGTAAAGTTATGGCCATTCAAAGCATTTCATTTTTTTTGTTAGAATAGCATTGATCAAAAATCTTATTTTAATAAAATGTGAAAAGTTAAAATATATTTTTCAGTGTAAATATATTACYGCCTCAACATTTTTTACTCTGTACAAATTTAGTTGTTACTTATGGCAACATAATTGGCCGGAAAGATGCCAGTTTGTCCTCCTATTTTTCCTTCCCACCAATCAAATTGGGAATTTGTTTTCGTTGTGACTGTGATTTTGTCTCCAGCTTTGAAAGTCAAGTCACCTGGCTGTTGTCCTTCAAATGAATAAAGTGCTGTCACTTCTACTGGATCACTCCAAGAGTTATCTGAAATAAAAGAAATTAAATAAAAAGGAAATTACTAAAAGGAAATTACTAGTTCCAACACATGCACTAAGTTCTTAAATAGAATACTTTTAAATGACAGAAAAGGGTGGTAAAGACATCAAAATAATCTATATGAGCATAGAAAACTACTCATGYAAAACCCCCTCCATTTCCATTACATGCTCAGGTAAGTGAAATCTGAATTTCAGCCAATCAGCACAGTCTATTTAATAAAATAGTATTCTATACAAAATAAGATCAACCATTTTTCTGTATGCCTCATATGGTCAGAGACAGTGGGAACGAAAGTGGTGTGTTGAAGAAAGCATGAGTGTTTCCTGAATGACTGCTATCAGAGCCACTGCTCAGGTTTGAGTTTTGGTTAAGTGTTCTCTGTGACAGCTTCTTCACAGAAACTGCAAAACTTAATAGAGAAAAATTGATTTTTAATCAAAACTCAGGATATAGCAGGGCAAAACACAAAACATCCACAGCCCTTCCCTTCTTGTTCCATAGGTTTTGCAGTGCCTGGGATTTTGGTGTATCTCAGATGTTAAACAGAACACACAAAATGTGCCAGAAGAAAGAACTGATTATGGTTTGAGGTACTGGAAGTSRCTTGGTTTGTACAGTGRTATTTTCAACCACATATACAAATGGTTTTTATTCTCTTAACACCAGTCTCTTATGTAACTCTTTCAGTCCTCAGCTGGGGTTGGAATCAAGTCGCGAGTCCTCTAAACTAGTTTTAAAATCATCAAAATCTTGGATACTATTATSTATCTTCCATTCTTGTTGAAATTTKTTAGCCAACATATCAATGTTTACTACCATTGAACTTTTAACCTGAGTATCTTCAATTTAATATTTTTTTTTCTCAATTCCTTCAACTGTCAGAGCTCTAGAAGGTAGTTGCATTAGATTAATGTTGATTTAGAAAACAGCTAAATCTCTCCCATCAGTGAATCTAAAAATGAAAAATGGAAGGTACAATGGGAGATTAGTTAAGAGGAAATGATGTTTACAGAGTCAAGTAGAGAGACTTTGGGATGTATGGCTCATATGGACATGATGGCTGCATAAACGCTCAAACATGCAAGATTAAAGGTTTTTAGCATTAGCTGCACCTTCTTGCTGTCAAAACTGTTGTAAAAGGGGAAATCCAAACTCTCACTAGTCTACACCCAGCAAGCACAGAGCTAGAAAGGATGGTGAGAGAAACATTGATGAAACTTTTTGGTTTTTTGCATTCTGTTACTGATACCCACAGATATTTTCTTGTTGTTGCTTTTATCACTTTAAAAGAGGAAAAAATATTTTCCTTAAGGCTCACAAACACAAACTATAGCTAAAAAAGGACAGAGAAGAACAATGGGCTACAAACGTATGCATAAACAGCACAGGTTTCTTTTCCCCCAGCATCTGTCAATATCTATGTTCATTCTACAGGCTAGTGCTTTCTCTTCATGATTTACGTTTTTAGCAATCATCCAAGATTAATACAAAATTATTTGGCCATGAGCTGGGAGAAATTTGATTGCAGAGAAGTCAAATGCCATTTTTCTTGATCACACAATCTCTCTCTCCTGATATCTACAGTCATGATCAGAAGCCACACAACATTTTCTGTTGATGGGAAAACAAAAGTATGTTTATCAGGTCCGTATCTCCAACAGTTACTCCTACAAAAAAAGGCAGCAATGCAGCTTTTCTAAATGACTCTTTTACTCTCACATCTGACTGAATATTCATCAATTGCATTATTTTTCTCCAAGAATTCAAGCATTTGATGCAGTTGGGATGATATGATGTGCTTCCACGCACAGTGTGGTTTGAAGATAGATATTTTGATTGATCAAATCATAGCAAAACTCATAAAAGTAAAAGATCAACTTTTTACTCCTAGTATTAATTGAAGAATAGTCAGAAAATACTGTGGCCCAAGACTCTTTAGGTGCTCAGGCATGAAAACAGTTATGACTCAGTTGCATATAAAAAGGAAGAAGGGGTGTATTTTACCCCTGTGCCACATTCAGACAGCACACATGGGTAAAAGTGAATTTATAAGTCACAGTGAAGGCAACAAACTCCTATACTTTGAGTCCTTAAACCTAGGTGTTTGCATCACCTAAATGAATAATCACTCATAGGGAATGGGAGTCACTGTATATTTACAACTGCCCCAAATATATATGGAAAAATTAGATATTTGACAAAGATCAAAAGAAAAGATTGAAAGTGCTAAAAGTGACACGAGAGCCTCTTTCATGACATTCAAAAGGACTCAAAGGATATGCTGGACTCACAGCAATGGCAGTAACTAATAGTTTCCGCCTCCATGGCTGAATCTGCATTAAGACTATAATTTCTTTTACACAAACTACTGAATATTCTGAAATTGGCTTAGTAAAAGTAGGAAGAAAAATGACGGCATATGAGACACAAATTAAAGCATGGAAAAAAAGATCCATGTGTGAGATATCAAGGGTAGTAGTGTATTCAATGCACCACAACTTCAATTATTGTTTCTGTGTCATACAAAGAASGTTTTTTTGTGTTTCTCTTCCCGTTTTTGAGCCAACTTTTGTACACACGCATCTTTCCAAACCTAGAGAAACCTCAAAACACTACAGCATACTATGAAAACTCAGTTCTGAGTCCTTGTCCCATTTGCTACCTGCAGTCATTTAAAAGCATTTTATAGCTTTATTGCTGTCAGCTCTTTCATAGCCATTTCTGCTTATTTTTCCCTCACAGCCTTTTCCTATAGTATAGTTTTGTTTTATTTTATTTCTCACTAAGATTCCAATTTCTGTGCTTTAGTTCTGTAGTTTTGTAGCACAAAGTAGACAGAATGCTCATTTCTTGCCTCCAGAGTTCAGCATCCCATGCTTCATATTTATATGAATCATCTTAATAATGAGGTATCTTAAATGAATGCACTGCTGAAAACTACCACATASATTATAAGGAGGATCTGTTTTGTGTTCTCATTTCCCAATTTCAGTTTTACATAACAGGGTTTTAAATAAAATTGTTATATTCCACATGAAGATTGCTGAATGCATATACAGAAACCACATTTTCAGCTCACACAAGATGGTGCTACAGTGCTACATACAGCATATAATACTGAAATCATTGAGATTTATGAGTATGCACACTGCAAGAAAAACAAACTATGTTGTAGAAAATCCTTACTTGTTACTGGCATTTGAATACACACACCASGCTTCCACAAACACGGTGGCCAAAACAGAAATACAGATATTTCAGCTGAAGATCAATCAGTTCAGTAGCCAGCATATACAAATCAATGCTCCAGCATACACATACAGCCAAGGTATGGCAGATGCTTGATAACAAACTTTGCTGACCACAATATCAGAAATTTCATTTKATTCATCTTTACATACGATAAAGATGATTGAAAAATTTGAAGATTTTGTGAATGACCAGTGCTACATATAAAAGGCTTGGTGGGGTATAAACTGGAGTGAATTGACGACCTCTTGGGTGTGCTGCAATACCAGCCCCAGAGTGAAAGAGCAACAAAACTAATTTTAATTATGACACATTTAATGAAGAATAAAAGCATTTTCTATAAAGTTGCTGTAGAACAGATACAGTGTCTAYGCTTGTGTGACTCACTTAAGAGTGGCAGTCTTTGACTACAAGGCCAGCTGGCACAAACTGGCCACATGCACCCCAGTAAACACTGATTGGGATGCAGAGAGGACAGCCACATTCAAACTGCCTACTGGCTTCTATACTGCAGTAACAACTAAACCACATCTTGGAATTATTTGGGAAAGTGCAAAGTGAGATCAATGCCAAGGCGTTTTCTAACAACACAAACACATAAATAAATGAGTTATAGTGTTTGGTCCCATGCCTTCATACTGTTTAATTTATGAGTAAATAAAGTAGTCACTAGTTTCTCATTCTAATGTGAACTTATAAAATATTAGTAAAGCCACAGGCTATTTCTATGACTGGTTTTCAGAGAGGAACAGGCATTCGTAATCATTTTGGCTTGAGCTTATTATACTTTTAAATCCCAGGCCTGAGCTGGAACACAGAATAGTGCAGTTCAGCTGTGGGCCCCAAATTTAATTTTACTGGCATAGATGTAAACATCCCCCAGCCACCAAATGCCTGATGCTGAATATCTTGCAGAAGACGTGCTGCTTTTGGCCATGGACAAAGCAATAAAACTAAAATAAGTTTCATGTACTTGAGGTTAGTGCTGAGATTGCTAATTATCCATTTTGCAAATTTTACTAATTGTCAGTAATTTGAGAACTAGCATAATTTTGGGGGTCATGTGTTCACCAGTGTCATGGTTAAAGGCCAGATGGCAACTAAGTCCCAAACACACCTCACTCCCTGCCTCACATCCTCACATCCAGTGGGATGCAAAAAAGAACTGGAGGGCTAAAAGTAAGAAAACTTGTGGAATCATGGGTTGAGATAAGAACAATTAAATAATTTRAATACAATAATAATAATTTTTTAAAAATTGTATGAAAAGGAAAATAAAAGAGAGAGAGAGAGACGGAGAAAGGACATGTTCATTTGCATCACCAAGAAAAGCAGGTGATGAAAAAGGAAATGAACAGCAATTGCTCACCACCAACCAAATGATGCTCAGCCTGCTCCCAATCAGTGGCCCCCAGGCCTTTTCCCCCAAGTTCATAGACAAGCAGGACTCTGTGGGATATCCCTTTACCCAGCTGGGATCAACTGTCCCAGCTGTGTCTCCCCCCAACCTCTTGTGCATCCCCAGCCCACTTGCTGACAGTGTAGCATGAGAAGCCAGAAAGGCCTTGATTTAGGGTAACCAGCAACAACTGAAACAGCAGTGTGTTATCAACTTTATTCTCATCCTAAATCCAAAMCACAACACTACCAGCTRTTAACWTTAGCAGCTACTAAGAGGAAAATTAACTCTACCTCAGAGTAAATCAGGACAAACTATACGACAGAAACTATAAGTG